CCAACCTCACACCAGAAAACTTTCCCGTGTTGTTGCGCGGAATTGAATAGGGGTTAACACCCTTGGAAATATAAAACTTGCAAGGGTTGAGAAACACTGATCCAGATGTTGTGAGCTGCAAACCCCCAGAATTCCCAGCCAGCACATAAGGAGGGTATAGGTTTGAGAAACCAGAATAGAAAAAAAGAATAGAAAAATAAACACTAAAAAGAAAACCCTCTCCATTCATTTCAACTAAACAACTGAAAAACAGGAGATAGGCTAGCAGTGTTTCCCAGAAGCAAAAATCTATATGCATATTGTTATAGAATATAAGAAGTTTTAAAAAACCCCTGCCAATCTAGTATTATATAGTGGATTACTTCCACCCTATAGCATAGTTTTCAAATAAACCTTTTCTTTCATGGAAAATTTAATTAATAATTAAACTTGTACATGGCTTTCAGCAGCAGACAGACATGCACGTGTTAATAACTTAGCAAAGCTGGGTCAAAAGCTAGATTGAAGGGACAGCCGGAAATTCAGATTTCTTTCCAATACAATGGACTGAAAATTTTTCATATGGGAGAGAAGTCTTTAGCGAAGGCTGAGAAGTATAGGATAAACATACAGAAAACACTAGACTCTTCAACTATAAAGACAGAATTCCTGCGCTTCAGAATTTGAGGACATTCAATAATAAGAGAGGTCCTCTCAGACTATTTCCCAATCCAGCTCTGTATAATGAGCAACAGCTAGTAGCAGCACGATCATTTGCATGCTTACTGAGATGTAAATTTAACGCGGTCCATCCGCGTCAAAATCACAAAAGCAGTGTCACGCGGTAAGCTCTGCTCATTTTCAGCATGTTTATGACTTAACAATGCCCATACAAAAGAGGCAGAACTTGCACCCTTCTGTGGGGTCAGTGGATTCATTCCCAGAAAAGTGTGCGCAGAACTGAAACCCAACGTAGAAGTACTGCCTTACCCTTTCTAACACCTTGTATTGCTGAAATTTAAAATGTCTTAACTTCATGGAGTCTTAGTAACATTTTTGTGAGTATTTTGCCAGTTCAATACGTCAGTTTTGAAAAGAAGTACATATTCATTTTTTCATTATTATTATTATATTTCAAATTGCACTTACTTATTAAACACCCTTCTATAACACTACAGTCGAAAAGATTCTTGGTAGTATATGATCTCAATGAGAATTTGGTATACATAGAATATAGCAAAATGATTTAAAACCACCACAGTA